CATATATCTATATCAAAATAAGTTTTAGGCTACCTGCATTTTTCCTCTCACAGGTTTGGCTTACATAAGGCTCAATTCCTGTTCAAAGTTTTTATTTTCACAGGTATTTTATCACTACCTTTATCACTTATGGTAAGTCTTAAAGAATTAAAGTTTCAAAGACTTACCCTGTGTTCCAGCTTGATTGTTCTTAAATTCTACCTGTGATATGGATACCACCAATTAAGAACCATTGATTTACACTATCCTGTTTCTTCCCTTATAACTACTTGCAAAAACTATGGTATGGTCTGTTTCCTATAGTGAGAGCCTTTGTGAGAAACAAAAATATATCATCTTCACTTGCTTAATGGTGCACAGTGCCCTGTTAAGTACATGTACATAGTGGGAGGAACAGTGCCAGCTGTTAAGACTCATTTATCATCTTACTCCCACCTTTAATTTTGGTTGCAAATGCTGGGCAGGGTGAGAGAGGAGGAAAATATAACATTGGAATGCCATGAGGAAGAAGATGCATGTGGTTAGCAATAAGATGCAAAGCTGGATGTTGGGTCTCTTCATCTGTCATATCTGTACCAAACAATACACCCACTTACCTTGGGTGGTCTGTAAGGAATGGTATACTGCAATACATGGTCAGGACACCTCGCTTTACTTTCTCTCTCAATAACTTCAGCTCAGGTCTTCATTATTTTATTTCAGTAAATACATGGGGCTGCAGCCACTATACTGTAAAGCAGAAGATTACCGAAGAAATGCTTAATTAACTTGATTTATAGCTGGTGTCTCAATGCAGAACTTATATATAAAATGTTCTAAATATTTATTTCTTATTTATTTCCTATACTTGGATGCTGCCCATTCCTGAAGGCTCTAGGCAGCTAACAATTTCAAAAACAACAACAACAACAACATGAAAATGGTAATTTGATTAGGTGGCTCCATTGTTTATAATATGATGCTCTCTCTTAGCCTTTTATAATAATTTTTTTTTAACTTTTTGAATGTTTTTAAAATTGTTTTTTATAGTTGTTTGTATGCCGCCCAGAGTCACACTATGTGAGATGGACAATCATATAAATATGATAAATAAATGAATAAAAACATCCCCAAAGACCCAATATGTGCAAAAATAAAAATTCAAGAAAATATAAAATTAGGAAATACAAAAGTCATGTGCTTGTGAACCCCACCTTTAATCATAACACACCTCTGCAAGATGGAACAGGTGGGTCTTCACAGCTTTCCTAAAGCCAAGAAGGGATGAATATTCTGTGCATAGTAAAGCTGTCAAGTACACTGAGCCTTTCTTTATTTGTGAGCAATGATTCCAGGAGCTTTGCACACTTTAGGATTAAGAAAAATAGCTTCCCACTAGTTCTGTTGAACTCCAAAGGGAAAAGTATGAGACTTTCAGATTTACCTTCCTACTGATGCGTGACTTGAACAAAGGTTGCTATCCCCAGTAGCACAAGGGTGCAGTAGTTTTCAGCCAACTGAACCAATAGTGGTTCGTAAACTGGTGGTAATTACCCATGGGGGTAATTTAAGCATATCCTGGGGGTAATGGAGCAATTTCTTTGAGGGCCCATGGATACCCTTTTATGAGAGTCAGTTCTGGTAATGTTTCAGTCTGGTATAAGCTACCATTTTATTTTCCTGCAGCATCCCAGATAAATTCTGGGGACCTTATTCTTACAGGAATGTGTTTGTACTTGTGGCTTTGAGTGTTGATTGAAACTGGCTATTCTAAATCTTTGTAAGTCATGCTTTATAGCTTAGTGATTTGTAAATGTATTGTAAATGTGGTTTATATAATAAGCTGTGTTTAAGCAAATTATGACTTAATGAGATTGGTGAAGGTAGCATAAATTAGGGGTAGTGTGGGATACTGAAATACAGTCTTAGCCAATATGTTGTTATTAGACACCAGTAAATGAACTGGAGGCAAACAATGCAATCCCTTTCCTAAAATCAAACATGTCTAGTCTGGTCAATGCTGGAACAGGAGACTTCCTAGAAACTCTATAAACACATAAATATAACAAATAAATGAAAAGAACCATCTTTTTTTCTACCTATTGTGCATATCATTCTAAGTGAGTCTGTCTTTTCTTTTCTTTGTTTTGTTTTGTTTATTTATTTATATATATATATATATATTTCAAATTTGGTCACCGCCCATCTCACTAGGAAATGAGTCTGGGCAGTTTACAGTAAAAACAAAAAATATTAATTAAAATACAATACAAATACAATACAAACCTTGAATAGTTGGTAAGTTCCAATTAATGTAGGTATTCTGTTGGGAAAAGTGTACATATTGAATAGCGATTGAGTTACGAGTGTACTTTCAGAACATCCAAGGATGTATGAGGGAGAGGGGCGGCATACAAATTTAAATAAATAAATAAATAAATATTCTACAATATATCTTGGTTTGAAGTTGAATTGATATTCATAACTAGTGAATCTTCATTAATTGTTGTTTGGATACTGTACAAAGTATGCTCTGACATAATGCTTTCCTTGAATTTAATTTAGAACTCCCTTATTTTGCTAAAAGTAGCTAAAAAACTATCAGTCTGGGGAGATGAAAATTATAGTGGAAGGTCTCTATAAAACTGTTAGAGAACTTCAGGGAAAGAGTGTGGTGAAATACAAAGACCACACTGGATGGGTTGGTGAAGGTCCTAACTAAAGTTTGCAAACATTTTCTATCATATTTTTAAATCCAAAAAAAACAAGCCTCTATCAATATCTCTTTGGCTAAACTAGACATTTGTTTCTCTGACAGTTCTTTCTAGTAAGGTTCAAAAGAAGATTCTGAAGTCCTGACTCTGAACTCACATATCTTTGTATGTTGGGTGATATAAATCATGGGCTGTTTAAATGAGTGGACCACTCTTCTGAAACACTAAGTAGTGGCTAATTGGTCTTATAAGCACTGTTTCCACCAAAGGCCACTTCACTGGTTACATTATAGAGTTGTGTGTCTTGACTTGGAGCAAGTCTCCCTCCCTCCCCCTCTTTCTCTCTCTCTCAACAAACAAAGAAACAAACAAAATACTAAAGTTAAATTAATATGCAAATCACATCAGAGCTTTTCTCATTCTTTCGTAAGTTTGGTCTTTATTTGTCCTAGTTTCTCCCATGAAAAATGGATTTGAGACCTGGTAACATAGACAAGGATGCTTATTAGAACAATATCTAATTCTTCAGATTTCATTACTGAAACTATATCTACATTTATATTATGGAAACCTAATTGTTACCTGGCTTCCAGCGATGAAGTAGGAATAGTAAAATACAACTTCCTTCTTAAATTGGTCTTATAAGCCAATTTAATTAAAATTAAACTTTCTCTCTTTCTCTCTCTCTCTCTCCCCTAAATGTAGCCTTCGTGTTGCTGATGTTCTTCTTTCTCTTTTTGGCTATACAGGCTGCTGTGGTTGTAGTATTTAACTTTGCCATGGTTCTGTTAATTTTTCCTGCTATTTTGAGTATGGATCTGTACCGCCGGGAAGATCGGAGGCTGGATATATTCTGCTGTTTTACAAGGTGAGATGGAAGGAATATTACAAAGATTACATCATTTTAAATGGACGTTTTACCACTGACTACTGTAGCCAGACATAATTATTCCTACAGTTCTAAGGTAGAATCACACGGTCTCTTTCAAGCTTCTTATATTCCAACTGCATGGAAAGCCAGAGCTGTAATGTCTGGAGCAGAAAACTGAGCATTATTGTACCCCTGGTGCCCATGAATTGCTATATGGTTGGAAGAGTTTGGTTGACCAGCTTTCTTATGGTAATATCAGTGCCATTAGGGAAGTTCTAAAAGCAGCCACAAAATACACTTCACACATCACTAAACTGTAATGTGTTTTGGCTTTGAGAGGTTTAGTATGTTTTGTTCTGCTGGCGAACTGGTATAATTGGATACTAACCAATGTATTGACATCTCTATTCTTTAATCATTTTGTGTTGCTTCAAAATAGAACAGTGGTGATTTTGCTAAATCAGTAATATTTTCAGAAACACACTCTAAGACTGGACTATGTTTCTTGCATAGTGTAAAACTCCATGTATGTAGGCATACTTCGTATATAAACACTTTATTAAATGTTACAAATAATATGTCAGAGAACAATTCTGGTTACAACCACGGTGCATATATCTACTTTCCCCATTTTCCTTTCAGCCCCTGTGTCAGCAGAGTCATTCAAATTGAACCTCAAGCCTATGCAGAGGCCGGTGATAACTTACGCTACAGCCCTCCACCACCCTACAGCGGCCCCAGTTTTGCACACGAAACTCAAATCACAATGCAGTCTACAGTCCAGCTGCGGACTGAATACGACCCACACACTCAGGTTTATTATACCACAGCAGAACCTCGTTCAGAAATATCGGTACAACCAGTCACCGTGCCACAAGATAACCTCAGCTGCCAGAGCCCAGAAAGCACAAGTTCAACCAGGGATCTCCTTTCCCAGTTCTCCGAAACTACACTGCATTGCCTTGAGCCTCCCTGTACTAAATGGACACTCTCCTCTTTTGCTGAAAAGCAGTATGCGCCACTCCTGTTAAAACCAAAAGCAAAGGTAATGTTGGTTGGTTGGTTTACCCTGTCCTTTGGGGGTCACAGTTAAAATATATTGACCATCCTTGAAAATCCAGAGATATTCTAAGTATCTAAAGTTCAGGCTGGATTCTACCTCCATATACAGATGTCAGTTAAAAAAATGGCATCAGATTATCTCTGGAAATAGCTCTTAAATAAGCTCTCTTCCTTCTGCTTCAAATACAATCCCATGTGGAGATCAGAAACAAGGCTTTATCATTTGTGGTTCTAGACCAGTGTTTCTTAACCAATGGCTGGCTGGGGAATTCTGGGAGTTGAAGTCCACACATCTTGAAGTTGCTGAGGTTGAAAAACACTGTCCTAGACCCCTAGGATGCTTTTCCTTTCTGGCTGGTTGTTTCTCAAGCCTTTGCATTATTATTGTTATTACAATTTCTCCTGTCCAAACATACTGGCAAAGTGTTAAGATTCCTGGCTCTGGCTTGAAAATGAACAACTGTAGGGAGCATGAGCATCTAAGGGCAGGGAATCAAAAAAGTCAAAGTGGAGGCCATGATCATGTTATTGAAGCCCTGTCCCCTTTTTATATAGGTTGCACACACAGTGCATGTAAAAAGGAGATGGGGCTTTGACTGTGCAATTGCACCTGTCAACCTGGCTTTTAAAAAAAATTCTCCTGCTGATGCCTCTGGTATGGATATGGTACTGTATATATAGTGATTTTGGCATGTAAATTCTGCAATGAAGCAGTTGTCCCCGATGTTGCCCAACCTTACCCTGACTTGAGTCATTTTGCAAATGACATGGCCACCATTAGGCTACTTAAAAGTGCACAGAGACTTTAATTGAACATTTTCTTTCGTTTAGAGTAAGGGGAGTTGAAGGTCAACACATGTGGGTGGCACCAGGTTGGGAGAGCTATGCTAAACATTGGCTGAGTCGATACATCATGTTGAACCATTTTTCTAACTATGGTTTGTTAAATAACCCATTATTGGCTGGGTTCACATATTGTGTTAATGCATGATTTATAATCTACCATGGCTAGATGCATACAACATGCTAAGCCAACACTAAACAAACCGTGGTATGCTTGGTACAATTTTGTCAACCCAGTCCCTGAGTATATTGGCCCTGCTGAAAATGATTTATGGAAGATGAGAAACCACACAGTCCTTATAGAAGCCATCGGTTATGAAGTTAAATAAATGGTTCCATATCCATCCTTTTATAGCTTTTGTAGCACCTGATTTTTTTTTTAATGTTACAATCCCTTTACTTATGCAAGCTTTTTTCTGTCTTTTTTTTTTTTCCAGATTGTGGTCATTTTCCTTTTTGTGGGCTTACTTGGCCTCAGTCTTTATGGAACTACCTGTGTGAGAGATGGATTGGATCTCACAGACATTGTGCCACGGGAAACACGAGAATATGAGTTCATTGCAGCCCAGTTCAAATACTTCTCATTCTACCATATGTACATTGTTACCCAGAAAGCAGATTATCCCAACATCCAACATTTACTTTATGAACTTCACAGAAGTTTCAGCAATGTGACCTATGTTTTATTGGAAGAAAACAAGCAGCTTCCTAAAATGTGGTTGCACTATTTTAGAGACTGGCTGCAAGGTAAAACAAAACAGCAATAACATACGTTATTTGCAAATGCAATTCTTGTTTTTAATGCATTATACCAGTGATAGATGCTTTTTTCCTGTGGAATCCCTTTGAAAGTCTTGAGATTGTTACAAATTATACAGGTAGTGGTCATTTAGTGACTGCCTTGTTTGGTGACTTTGCAGTTATAACCATGATGAAAAAGTAACTTTAGAACCATTCCTCATATTTATGACCTTTGCAAGTCTGTAAAGCACAGGAAAGCTGAAGTAAGTTCATAAGCACAGTTGCAGTTTCATTTAGCTACTGCTTCACTTAACAACGGAGTTGCTGGTCCCAATTGTGCTTGCTAAATGCAGACTACCTGTATATTCTTTTGAGACTACTTGGCATACGCATAGGTTAATTTCATGCAAGTTAACCAGTTGTTTCTTTGCTTAGTTAGATTTATATCTTGTTCTTGCATGAGTTCAGGGAATGCTAGATGAATATGTAGATGCTAATCAGATAAACTCGTATTACAATTGTTTAATGTATTTGCATTAACTTCTTTTTAAAAAAAAAACAATATATAAAGAAGGATTTTTATTTCTCATGTTTTTCTCACTTTACCTTACTCCAGTCATTCTCTAAGAACCAGTATTTTTTCATCAGGGGCTTTGAAGCTTTGTAAATTTATTTCAAATAACTAGGGCCGGTAGCTGTTTTTCTCTCTTTCTCTGGCCAGGTTGTATGTGCTATGTCTGGCAGGTTTGCACCCACTCAGTGTTTTTATTCTGAATGTCAAGTAGGGAGCTTTATTACAACTACCTACATGGGGAAAACTCTAAAGGAAACAGAGAAAAGGGCTTGCAAACAAGAATGAGCATCCAGAGCTTATGGCCATGTTCTTTCTTCCAAGACTCTTACCTCTTTATAGCTGTAGCTAACCTGTCGGATCTGTAATGATGGTTTTGATTACAGCCTCCCAGCACAGCTGTGAGGTGGGTTGGTGCATCCCCCCCTTCCCTTCTCTGCTTTAGACATGCGGTTCGTTCATCTGTTCTCACACAGCCTCCTTGTGCTGGGCTGTGGCTTCCTATTCTAAATCTGATCCAAATTTGCTCTGTGAGGTATTTTTGCCCAGCCTCTCCCTTGGAAGGGGTGGCAAAGAGGAAAAGAACAGTTGAGAGTGAATAGGTGCTGGCTGTGATCTTTACACGTGCTGGCAGCACATCCCACAACTTGTATTAGCTCCACAAGTTGAACAGATGGAACAAATTGACAAAATCGTGTTCACTCATGCTGTGCTCTAGCAGGAGCTGGGTGGCTGTTTGAAGTCTGAGCGGTGCAGTGTGAGTTTCTTTTTCCTCTGGCTTTGCGGTGGAATTTCTGGTCATGTTGTCATATAACCCATGGTTTCAGCACCTAGTGGTAGCTGAAACAACAAAATCCTGTGTGTCTCCTCCCCATTGTGTAATTCCTTTTAGGGTTATGAGTGGATAAAGCTTTATTTAGATAATAGCCCCATTTCTGACTTGGTTATTACTGGTTTTTGGCTCAATCCCCCCAGATTGTATTTGAATGAAGCAATTAATTTTCCCCCAAGTGTTTGTTTGGAAATTACCTGCTGCTTATTTTTTCCACTGTAGATTTCAAGCCAGCCTCTTTACCGTGTGTGTTCTCATTTCCTTATTAGCACAGCATACATATAATAATAACCCTGCTCTGCTTACCTGATTTCTGTCACAGAACATGAAGTTTTTATGTTTTAAAAAACATTTTACCAAACTTATATGTTTTGTATATATTCTCTCCCTCTATGTGTAAGCATTAAGGCTGGGCAGTCTTTCAGATCTGATCTTCAAAAAATGTTTTGGAGCAGATAGGTACATGAACATAACACCTGTTTGCCACACATTAAAGCATCTGGCTGTTTTAAGGGGTTGCAAGCAAATGCTATGTTTGCATTCCCATATGCTCTGAAGTGCCTTTTGGAGATCAAATCTGAAGCACTGCGTAGCTCAAGTAAGCTTGAGTGCCAGAGCAAGTCTTGCACGCATGAAGTGCCTGCAAATCTTGTCTTGTTATATACAAGCCATGTGTTCAGCCACACACACAGTAGTGTTATGATGTCAATGTTTTCACGTGTGGAGAAGTTTAGCTAAGTGGGTGTGGGAGAATTGGGCCAGTTTTGAGGCAGCAGGAGGTCTGTCTGGAACTCTAGCCTGGCAGTTTTCCACAGACAAGTTGGAAGATGGGAAAGGCAAGCTATGCAAGCCCTGCACTTCTGGGAGGCCAGTGTCTCAAGTTTAGGGCTCCCTCCCAAACATCTGCTTGGGAGGCAGGTGACAGTTCTCCAGCCAGACACTTCTTGTTCCAGGACTATGGGGAGAGGCTGGAAGAGACAGAATTAAGAGTCAAAAAGAACACTAGGAAAGTGATGGCAATGTCTCACAAATCTTGTCAGCACTTACTCGAGCTGAAAAGCTTGGAGTCCTGAAACCTCTTTTTTATTAGTTGAAAAGAGAGCTTTGTTAGTTTTCTCTCTCTCTTAATTTATGAGCTGGGTAGATGATGATTTATTAACTTGGGGGAGTGTTGCCTTTCAACAGGTCTTCAGGAGGCTTTTGACAAAGACTGGAAATCTGGGAAGATCACACTTAACAGTTACAAAAATGGATCTGAAGATGCTGTTTTGGCTTACAAACTTCTAGTTCAGACAATTTCAAACATCCGAGATAAACCCATTAATATGAGCCAGGTACGTTCAAAAATGTAGTTGTTATGTCTGTGGTTTTAAATGGAGTGATGCGGATTATAACTGTATTTGTTAATTCATTTACTGTTAAAACTTTAATGAACTTGGGGACAATAGTTCTGAGCTGCCCCTCTTTTATGACAAAATCCACATACCGTATTTTTCCATCAATAAGACGCCCCCATGTACAAGACGACCCCCACTTTTCCA